CCAGCTGGCTCAGTGATGTATGAGTTGGGCATGCGTGTGAGCAGAGAGAACAGAACTCCCTCAGGTTTACAGCAGCAGGTCAACTGTTTCCTGTCGGCTCTGAACTGCCTGCGCCTCATCAGGCCGGAGTACGCCTGGATCGTCCAGCCGGCCCCCGGAGCTACAGTACGTTTATATATTATACACATATTATATATATATATATATATATATATATATATATATATATATATATATATATATTATTATTATATATATATATATATATATATATATATACATCTCATCAGCCACTAACCATTCATCCAAATTACTGTGCTCTCCAAATATATTCAAATGAATATTCAAATCCTCCATGTTGCTCTCAGACGGGAGACAACGGGAAACTAAAGACAAGCAAACGGTTTGAAAAGCAAACTGTATGCAGTTCAATCGACCGGACTTCTTTCTGCAGATGTGAGCGTCCTTAACAACGGTCAATAAGTCCTTGACAGTGGTCTGTACTGCTGGATTAACAACGTGTCACGTGTTCTGAGTCGACCAATCAGAATCGAGTATTCAACTAAGCCATGTAATGAATGTGTATATATATAATATATGTATATATAAAACTATATAAATCCTTTGTTTGTGTTGCAGTACGAGCGTGCGGGAGCGTCTCCGAAGAGAAACTCTGACGGAGAGTTCTCCTCTCAGCCAGGTCAGTCACATACCTACATATAGACTGCTGCACAATACTATAGCGTATACATATATATATATACTGCTGCACAACACTATAGCGTATACATATATATATATATGCTGCTGCACAATACTATAGCGTATACATATATATATATATACTGCTGCACAACACTATAGCGTATACATATATAGATACTGCTGCACAATACTATAGCGTATACATATATATATATACTGCTGCACAACACTATAGCGTATACATATATATATATACTGCTGCACAACACTATAGCGTATACATATATAGCTCAGATACTTGTATATGTGTTCAGTGAAGCGTCAGGTGGACATCCTGGAGCTCAGAGACCTGGAGAGAGAGTTCATCCTGTCGAGCAGCCGCCTGAGCCTCAGCCAGCTCCACCCGAGCCAGGCTGCCATCGCAGGTACTCCACCTTTACACCACCTTAACCCACCGTTACACCACCTTAACTCCACCTTTACACCACCTTAACCCACTGTTACACCACCTTTACACCACCTTAACCCACCGTTACACCACCTTAACCCACCGTTACACCACCTTAACTCCACCTTTACACCACCTTAACCCACCGTTACACCACCTTTACACCACCTTAACTCCACCTTTACACCACCTTAACCCACCTTTACACCACCTTAACTCCACCGTTAGACCACCGTTACACCACCTTACTCCACCTTTACACCACCTTAACCCACCCTTTACACCACCTTAACCCACCGTTACACCACCTTAACCCACCTTTACTCCACCTTAACTCCACCGTTACACCACCTTAACCCACCGTTACACCACCTTAACTCCACCTTTACACCACCGTTACACCACCTTAACCCACCTTTACACCACCTTAACCCACCTTTACACCACCTTAACCCACCTTTACTCCACCGTTACACCACCTTAACTCCACCGTTACACCACCTTAACTCCACCTTAACCCACATTTACTCCACCTTAACTCCACCGTTACACCACCTTTACACCACCTTAACCCACATTTACTCCACCTTAACTCCACCACCTTTATACCACCTTAACCCACCGTTACACCACCTTAACCCACCTTTACTCCACCGTTACACCACCTTTACACCACCTTAACTCCACCTTAACTCCACCGTTACACCACCTTAACCCACCGTTACACCACCTTACTCCACCTTTACATCACCTTAACCCACCTTTACACCACCTTAACTCCACCTTAACTCCACCTTAACTCCACCGTTACACCACCTTAACCCACCTTTACACCACCGTTACACCACCTTTACACCACCTTTACACCACCTTTACTCCACCCTAGCACCCCCCTTATTAATTATATTATATATGTATTGCAGGTGGAGCCTCAGCCGGAGAGATGGTGTCTCTCCTAGTCCAATCAGGGCTCTTCGACTCTGCGCTGTCTGTCTGCCAGGCGTTTTCTCTCAGTCTCAGTCCTGTGTTCGAGGGGCTCACCTTCAAGTGAGAGCTTCTTCTATACCTGTGTGACATCACCACGTACCTGAGTGACATCACTGTGTGCGCCTGAGTGACATCACTGTGTGCCTGAGTCCTGAGTGACATCACCGTGTGCCCGAGTGACATCACCGTGTGCCCGAGTGACATCACCGTGTGCCCGAGTGACATCACCGTGTGCCCGAGTGACATCACCGTGTGCCCGAGTGTGCCATCACCGTGTACCTGAGTGACATCACTGTGTGACATCACTGTGTGCCTGAGTGACATCACTGTGTGACAGTGACATCACCGTGTGCCTGTGTGACATCACCGTGTGCCTGAGTGACATCACCGTGTGCCTGAGTGACATCACCGTGTGCCTGAGTGACATCACCGTGTGCCTGAGTGACATCACCGTGTGCCTGAGTGACATCACTGTGTTTATAATGCAGGTGCATCAAGCTGCAGGGGGGGGGGGAGGAGCCTCAGAGCGACGCCTGGAGCTGGCTGGCAGCCAATCAGCTGTCAGCAGTCGTCAACACCAAGGAGTCAAGGTGTGTACCAGCAGTATTACAAGTATTTATACCTTAGTCAGCAGCAGTACTACAAGTATGAATAACTTAGTCAGCAGCAGTACTACAAGTATTAATAACTTAGTCAGCAGCAGTACTACAAGTATGAATTACTTAGTCAGCAGCAGTACTACAAGTATTAATAACTTAGTCAGCAGCAGTACTACAAGTATTAATAACTTAGTCAGCAGCAGTACTACAAGTATGAATAACTTAGTCAGCAGCAGTACTACAAGTATTTATACCTTAGTCAGCAGCAGTACTACAAGTATGAATAACTTAGTCAGCAGCAGTATTACAAGTATTTATACCTTAGTCAGCAGCAGTACTACAAGTATGAATAACTTAGTCAGCAGCAGTACTACAAGTATGAATAACTTAGTCAGCAGCAGTACTACAAGTATGAATTACTTAGTCAGCAGCAGTACTACAAGTATGAATTACTTAGTCAGCAGCAGTACTACAAGTATGAATTACTTAGTCAGCAGCAGTACTACAAGTATTTATACCTTAGTCAGCAGCAGTACTACAAGTATGAATTACTTAGTCAGCAGCAGTACTACAAGTATGAATAACTTAGTCAGCAGCAGTACTACAAGTATGAATTACTTAGTCAGCAGCAGTACTACAAGTATGAATTACTTAGTCAGCAGCAGTACTACAAGTATGAATAACTTAGTCAGCAGCAGTACTACAAGTATGAATAACTTAGTCAGCAGCAGTACTACAAGTATGAATTACTTAGTCAGCAGCAGTACTACAAGTATGAATACCTTAGTCAGCAGCAGTACTACAAGTATGAATAACTTAGTCAGCAGCAGTACTACAAGTATGAATAACTTAGTCAGCAGCAGTACTACAAGTATTAATACCATACTACAAGTATTAATACCATACTACAAGTATTTATACCTTAGTCAGCAGCAGTACTACAATTACTAATAACTTATGTTACACTAATCACAGTGTGTGTGTTATTAATCAGTGTGTGTGTGTTATTAATCAGTGTGTGTGTGTGTGTTATTAATCAGTGTGTGTGTGTGTGTTATTAATCAGTGTGTGTGTGTGTGTTATTAATCAGTGTGTGTGTGTGTGTATTAATCAGTGTGTGTGTGTGTGTTATTAATCAGTGTGTGTGTGTGTGTTATTAATCAGTGTGTGTGTGTGTTATTAATCAGTGTGTGTGTGTGTGTTATTAATCAGTGTGTGTGTGTGTGTTATTAATCACTGTGTGTGTGTGTGTGTTATTAATCAGTGTGTGTGTGTGTGTTATTAATCACTGTGTGTGTGTGTGTTTATTAATCAGTGTGTGTGTGTTATTAATCACTGTGTGTGTGTTATTAATCAGGTGTGTGTGTTATATTAATCACTGTGGTGTGTGGTGTTATAATCAGTGTGTGTGTGTGTGTTATTAATCAGTGTGTGTGTGTGTTATTAATCAGTGTGTGTGTGGTTATTACTCACTGTGTTGTGTTATTAATCATGTGTGTGTGGTTATTAATCACTGTTGTGTGTTATTAATCACTGTGTGTGTGTGTTATTAATCACTGTGGTGTTGTGTGTGTTATTAATCAGTGGTGTGTGTGTTAGTAATCAGTGTGGGTGAATGTGTTATTACTCAGTGTGTGTGTGTTATTAATCACTGTGTGTGTGTTGTGTTATTAAACGACAGTGTGTGTTGGTTATTAATCACTGTGGGTTGTGTGTGTTATTATCATTGTGTGTGTGTTATTAATCAGTGTGTGTGTGTTATTAATCAGTGTGTGTGTTATTAATCAGTGTGTGTGTGTTATTAATCAGTGTGTGTGTGTGTGTGTTATTAATCAGTGTGTGTGTGTTATTAATCACAGTGTGTGTGTTATTAATCACTGTGTGTGTGTTATTAATCACTGTGTGTTTGTTATTAATCAGTGTGTGTGTGTTATTAATCACTGTGTGTGTGTGTGTTATTAATCAGTGTGTGTGTGTTATTAATCAGTGTGTGTGTGTTATTAATCACTGTGTGTGTGTTATTAATCAGTGTGTGTGTGTTATTAATCACTGTGTGTGTGTTATTAATCAGTGTGTGTGTGTGTGTGTGTTATTAATCAGTGTGTGTGTGTTATTAATCACAGTGTGTGTTATTAATCACAGTGTGTGTGTTATTAATCACAGTGTGTGTGTTATTAATCAGTGCGTGTGTGTTATTAATCAGTGTGTGTGTGTGTTATTAATCACAGTGTGTGTGTGTGTGTGTGTTATTAATCACAGTGTGTGTGTGTTATTAATCAGTGTGTGTGTGTTATTAATCAGTGTGTGTGTGTGTGTGTGTTATTAATCAGTGTGTGTGTTATTAATCACAGTGTGTGTGTGTGTGTTATTAATCACAGTGTGTGTGTGTGTTATTAATCACAGTGTGTGTGTGTGTGTGTTATTAATCACAGTGTGTGTGTGTGTGTGTTATTAATCACAGTGTGTTATTAATCAGTGTGTATGTGTGTTATTAATCACAGTGTGTGTGTGTGTTATTAATCACAGTGTGTTATTAATCAGTGTGTGTGTTATTAATCACAGTGTGTGTGTTATTAATCACAGTGTGTGTGTGTGTATGTGTTATTAATCAGTGTGTATGTGTGTTATTAATCACAGTGTGTGTGTGTGTGTTATTAATCACAGTGTGTGTGTGTTATTAATCACTGTGTGTGTGTTATTAATCACTGTGTGTGTGTGTGTATGTGTTATTAATCAGTGTGTATGTGTGTTATTAATCACAGTGTGTGTGTGTGTTATTAATCACAGTGTGTTATTAATCAGTGTGTATGTGTTATTAATCACAGTGTGTGTGTGTGTTATTAATCACAGTGTGTGTGTGTGTTATTAATCACAGTGTGTGTGTGTGTTATTAATCACAGTGTGTGTGTGTGTTATTAATCACAGTGTGTGTGTGTCTCAGTGCTGCAGACGAGGCCTGGCGGCTGCTCTCCTCTTACCTGCTCAGGTATCCGTGTTCCAACGGACGACATCATCGCTGCGTCATCAACAAGCTGCTGTCGCACGGAGTGCCGCTCCCTGATTGGCTCATCAAGTCGTACAAGGTGAGAGCTCAACCAATCAATCCTGAACCCTGGTGTAGCGGCGATCGCTCATCAAAAAGGCCATGGAGGTTAGCAGTCAGAGTTCCCGTGTTGTGGTGAAGGATGAGGTCCACCATCACGTCATTTGCTTTATTTATTTGTCCACGGTTAAAATGTTCTTTTACGACTCGTATCTAAAATCTTGTTTAAAACATAACGATCGCGGTCGGACACAAACGATCACGCTCGGACACAAACGATCACGGTCGGACACAAACGATCACGGTCGGACACAAACGATCACGGTCAGACACAAACGATCGCGGTCGGACACAAACGATCGCGCTCGGACACAAACGATCGCGGTCGGACACAAACGATCGCGCTCGGACACAAACGATCGCGGTCGGACACAAACGATCGCGGTCGGACACAAACGATCGCGGTCGGACACAAACGATCGCGGTCGGACACAAACGATCGCGGTCGGACACAAACGATCGCGCTCGGACACAAACGATCGCGCTCGGACACAAACGATCGCGGTCGGACACAAACGATCGCGCACGGACACAAACGATCGCGCACGGACACAAACGATCGCGCACGGACACAAACGATCGCGGTCGGACACAAACGATCGCGGTCGGACACAAACGATCACGGTCGGACACAAACGAGTCAGCATGATGAGACCTGAACCCTGACACGAGTCAGCATTATGAGACCTGAACCCAGACACGAGTCAGCATTGAGACCTGAACCCAGACACGAGTCAGCATTATGAGACCTGAACCCTGACACGAGTCAGCATTATGAGACCTGAACCCTGACACGAGTCAGCATGATGAGTCCTGAACCCTGACACGAGTCAGCATTATGAGACCTGAACCCTGACACGAGTCAGCATGATGAGACCTGAACCCTGACACGAGTCAGCATGATGAGTCCTGAACCCTGACACGAGTCAGCATTATGAGTCCTGAACCCTGACACGAGTCAGCATTATGAGACCTGAACCCTGACACGAGTCAGCATTATGAGTCCTGAACCCTGACACGAGTCAGCATTATGAGACCTGAACCCTGACACGAGTCAGCATTATGAGACCTGAACCCTGACACGAGTCAGCATTATGAGACCTGAACCCTGACACGAGTCAGCATTATGAGACCTGAACCCTGACACGAGTCAGCATTATGAGTCCTGAACCCTGACACGAGTCAGCATTATGAGACCTGAACCCTGACACGAGTCAGCATGATGAGACCTGAACCCTGACACGAGTCAGCATGATGAGACCTGAACCCTGACACGAGTCAGCATTATGAGACCTGAACCCTGACACGAGTCAGCATGATGAGACCTGAACCCTGACACGAGTCAGCATGATGAGACCTGAACCCTGACACGAGTCAGCATTATGAGACCTGAACCCAGACACGAGTCAGCATTGAGACCTGAACCCAGACACGAGTCAGCATTATGAGACCTGAACCCTGACACGAGTCAGCATTATGAGTCCTGAACCCTGACACGAGTCAGCATTATGAGACCTGAACCCTGACACGAGTCAGCATTATGAGACCTGAACCCTGACACGAGTCAGCATTATGAGTCCTGAACCCTGACACGAGTCAGCATGATGAGACCTGAACCCTGACACGAGTCAGCATGATGAGACCTGAACCCTGACACGAGTCAGCATGATGAGTCCTGAACCCTGACACGAGTCAGCATTATGAGACCTGAACCCTGACACGAGTCAGCATGATGAGACCTGAACCCTGACACGAGTCAGCATGATGAGACCTGAACCCTGACACGAGTCAGCATTATGAGACCTGAACCCTGACACGAGTCAGCATTATGAGACCTGAACCCTGACACGAGTCAGCATTATGAGTCCTGAACCGAGTCAGCATTATGAGTCCTGAACCCTGACCTGAGTCAGCATTATGAGACCTGAACCCTGACACGAGTCAGCATTATGAGACCTGAACCCTGACCTGAGTCAGCATTATGAGTCCTGAACCCTGACACGAGTCAGCATTATGAGACCTGAACCCTGACACGAGTCAGCATTATGAGTCCTGAACCCTGACCTGAGTCAGCATGATGAGACCTGAACCCTGACACGAGTCAGCATTATGAGTCCTGAACCCTGACACGAGTCAGCATTATGAGTCCTGAACCCTGACACGAGTCAGCATTATGAGTCCTGAACCCTGACACGAGTCAGCATGATGAGACCTGAACCCAGACACGAGTCAGCATGATGAGACCTGAACCCTGACACGAGTCAGCATTATGAGTCCTGAACCCTGACCTGAGTCAGCATTATGAGTCCTGAACCCTGACCTGAGTCAGCATTATGAGACCTGAACCCTGACCTGAGTCAGCATTATGAGTCCTGAACCCTGACACGAGTCAGCATGATGAGTCCTGAACCCTGACACGAGTCAGCATGATGAGACCTGAACCCTGACCTGAGTCAGCATTATGAGTCCTGAACCCTGACACGAGTCAGCATTATGAGACCTGAACCCTGACACGAGTCAGCATTATGAGACCTGAACCCTGACCTGAGTCAGCATTATGAGTCCTGAACCCTGACACGAGTCAGCATTATGAGACCTGAACCCTGACACGAGTCAGCATTATGAGACCTGAACCCTGACACGAGTCAGCATTATGAGACCTGAACCCTGACCTGAGTCAGCATTATGAGTCCTGAACCCTGACACGAGTCAGCATTATGAGACCTGAACCCTGACACGAGTCAGCATTATGAGTCCTGAACCCTGACACGAGTCAGCATTAGACCTGAACCCTGACACGAGTCAGCATTATGAGTCCTGAACCCTGACACGAGTCAGCATTATGAGTCCTGAACCCTGACCCTCCCATTGGAGCAGGGAGATGCTGCCTTCAGGGACCAACACGAACATCATGTTGTGATGTGTTACAGGAAGTGGACGCGGCCTCCCTGCTGCGGCTCTACCTGAACTTTGACCTGCTGGAGGAGGCGGGGGATCTGGTGCTGGAGTACGTGGACGCCCTGCTGGGGAGGAACCGGTACTACGGGTTAGAGGTGAGGAACCGGTACTACGGGTTAGAGGTGAGGAACCGGTACTACGGGTTAGAGGAACCGGTACTACAGGTTAGAGGAGAGGAACCGGTACTACGGGTTAGAGGGGAGGAACCGGTACTACGGGTTAGAGGGGAGGAAACCGGTACTACGGGTTAGAGGAACCGGTACTACGGGTTAGAGGGGAGGAACCGGTACTACGGGTTAGAGGAACCGGTACTACGGGTTAGAGGAACCGGTACTACGGGTTAGAGGGGAGAGGAACCGGTACTACGGGTTAGAGGGCAGGAACCGGTACTACGGGTTAGAGGAACGGTACTACGGGTTAGAGGTTAGAGGAACCGGTACTACGGGTTAGAGGGGAGGAACCGGTTACTACGGGTTAGAGGGAGGAACCGGTACTACGGGTTAGAGGAACCGGTACTACGGGTTAGAGGAACCGGTACTACGGGTTAGAGGGGAGGAACCGGTACTACGGGTTAGAGGGAGGAACCGGTATACGGGTTGGAGGAACGGTACTAAGGGTTGTTAGAGGAACCGGTACTACGGGTTAGAGGAACCGGTACTACGGGTAGAGGGCAGGAACCGGTACTACGGGTAGAGGAACCGGTACTACGGGTTAGAGGGAAGAACCGGTACTACGGGTTAGAGGAGAGAACCGGACTACGGGTTAGAGGAACCGGTACTACGGGTTAGAGGTGAGGAACCGGTACTACGGGTTAGAGGAACCGGTACTACGGGTTAGAGGAACCGGTACTACGGGTTAGAGGGGAGGAACCGGTACTACGGGTTAGAGGGGAGGAACCGGTACTACGGGTTAGAGGAACCGGTGCTACGGGTTAGAGGGGAGGAACCGGTACTACGGGTTAGAGGAGAGGAACCGGTACTACGGGTTAGAGGAAACGGTACTACGGGGTTAGAGGGAGGGAGGAACCGGTACTACGGGTTAGAGGAGAGGAACCGGTACTACGGGGTTAGAGGGAGGAACCGGTACTACGGGTTAGAGGAACCGGTACTACGGGGTTAGAGGAACCGGTACTACGGGTTAGAGGGAGGAACCGGTACTACGGGTTAGAGGTGAGAACCGGTACTACGGGTTAGAGGAACCGGGTACTAGGGTTAGAGGGGAGGAACCGGTACTACGGGTTAGAGGAACCGGTACTACGGGTTAGAGGGGAGGAACCGGTACTACGGGTTAGAGGGGAGGAACGGTACTAGGGTTAGAGGAACCGGTACTACGGGTTAGAGGGGAGGAAACCGGTACTACGGGTTGTTAGGGAAACCGGTACTACGGGTTAGAGGTGAGGAACCGTTACTACGGGTTAGAGGAACCGTTACTACGGGTTAGAGGAACCGGTACTACGGGTTAGAGGGGAGGAACCGGTACTACAGGTTAGAGGAACCGGTACTACGGGTTAGAGGTGAGGAACCGGTACTACGGGTTAGAGGTGAGGAACCGGTACTACGGGTTAGAGGAACCGGTACTACGGGTTAGAGGAACCGGTACTACGGGTTAGAGGGGAGGAACCGGTACTACGGGTTAGAGGAACCGGTACTACGGGTTAGAGGAACCGGTACTACGGGTTAGAGGTGAGGAACCGGTACTACGGGTTAGAGGAACCGGTACTACAGGTTAGAGGAACCGGTACTACGGGTTAGAGGGGAGGAACCGGTACTACGGGTTAGAGGAACCGGTACTACGGGTTAGAGGAACCGGGTTAGAGGTGAGGAACCGGTACTACGGGTTAGAGGTGAGGAACCGGTACTACGGGTTAGAGGAACCGGTACTACGGGTTAGAGGGGAGGAACCGGTACTACAGGTTAGAGGAGAGGAACCGGTACTACGGGTTAGAGGGGAGGAACCGGTACTACGGGTTAGAGGGGAGGAACCGGTACTACGGGTTAGAGGGGAGGAACCGGTACTACGGGTTAGAGGAACCGGTACTACGGGTTAGAGGAACCGGTACTACGGGTTAGAGGGGAGGAACCGGTACTACGGGTTAGAGGGCAGGAACCGGTACTACGGGTTAGAGGAACCGGTACTACGGGTTAGAGGAACCGGTACTACGGGTTAGAGGGGAGGAACCGGTACTACGGGTTAGAGGAACCGGTACTACGGGTTAGAGGAACCGGTACTACGGGTTAGAGGGCGGGGAACCGGTACTACGGGTTGGAGGAACCGGTACTACGGGTTAGGGAACCGGTACTACGGGTTAGAGGGCAGGAACCTGGTACTACGTGGTTAGAGGAAACCGGTACGTACGGGTTAGAGGTGAAGAACCGGTTACTACGGGTTAGAGGAACCGGTACTACAGGTAGAGGAACCGGTTCCTAGCGGTTAGAGGGGAGGAACCGGTACTACGGGTTAGAGGAACCGGTACTACGGGTTAGAGGTGTGAGGAACCGGTACTACGGGTTAGAGGAACCGGTACTACGGGTTAGAGGGGGGAACCGGTACTACGGGTTAGAGGGAGGAACTGGTACTACGGGTTAGAGGAACCGGTGCTACGGGTTAGAGGGGAGGAACCGGTACTACGGGTTAGAGGAGAGGAACCGGTACTACGGGTTAGAGGAACCGGTACTACGGGTTAGAGGAACCGTACTTACGGTTAGCGGAACCGGTACTACGGGTTAGAGGGGAGGAACCCGGTACTACGGGTTAGAGGTGAGGAACCGGTACTACGGGTTAGAGGAACCGGTACTACGGGTTAGAGGGGAGGGAACCAGTACTACGGGTTAGAGGAACCGGTACTACGGGTTAGAGGTGAGGAACCGGTACTACGGGTTAGAGGGGAGGAACCGGTACTACAGGTTAGAGGAGAGGAACCGGTACTACGGGTTAGAGGGGAGGAACCGGTACTACGGGTTAGAGGGGAGGAACCGGTACTACGGGTTAGAGGAACCGGTACTACGGGTTAGAGGGGAGGAACCGGTACTACGGTTAGAGGAACCGGTACTACGGGTTAGAGGAACCGGTACTACGGGTTAGAGGGGAGGAACCGGTACTACGGGTTAGAGGGCAGGAACCGGTACTACGGGTTAGAGGAACCGGTACTACGGGTTAGAGGAACCGGTACTACGGGTTAGAGGGGAGGAACCGGTACTACGGGTTAGAGGGGAGGGAAACGGTTACTACGGGTTAGAGGAACCGGTACTACGGGTTAGAGGAACCGGTACTACGGGTTAGAGGGGAGGAAACCGGTACTACGGGTTGTTAGAGGGGAGGAACCGGTACTACGGGTTGGAGAGGAACCGGTACTACGGGTTAGAGGAACCGGTACTACGGGTTAGAGGAACCGGTACTACGGGTTAGAGGGCAGGAACCGGTACTACGGGTTAGAGGAACCGGTACTACGGGTTAGAGGGAAGAACCGGTACTACGGGTTAGAGGAACCGGTACTACGGGTTAGAGGTGAGGAACCGGTACTACGGGTTAGAGGAACCGGTACTACGGGTTAGAGGAACCGGTACTACGGGTTAGAGGGGAGGAACCGGTACTACGGGTTAGAGGGGAGGAACTGGTACTACGGGTTAGAGGAACCGGTGCTACGGGTTAGAGGGGAGGAACCGGTACTACGGGTTAGAGGAACCGGTACTACGGGTTAGAGGAACCGGTACTACGGGTTAGAGGGGAGGAACCGGTACTACGGGTTAGAGGAGAGGAACCGGTACTACGGGTTAGAGGGGAGGAACCGGTACTACGGGTTAGAGGAACCGGTACTACGGGTTAGAGGAACCGGTACTACGGGTTAGAGGAACCGGTACTACGGGTTAGAGGGGAGGAACCGGTACTACGGGTTAGAGGTGAGGAACCGGTACTACGGGTTAGAGGAACCGGTACTACGGGTTAGAGGGGAGGAACCAGTACTACGGGTTAGAGGAACCGGTACTACGGGTTAGAGGGGAGGAACCGGTACTACGGGTTAGAGGGGAGGAACCGGTACTACGGGTTAGAGGAACCGGTACTACGGGTTAGAGGGGAGGAACCGGTACTACGGGTTAGAGGAACCGGTACTACGGGTTAGAGGTGAGGAACCGTTACTACGGGTTAGAGGAACCGTTACTACGGGTTAGAGGAACCGGTACTACGGGTTAGAGGGGAGGAACCGGTACTACAGGTTAGAGGAACCGGTACTACGGGTTAGAGGTGAGGAACCGGTACTACGGGTTAGAGGTGAGGAACCGGTACTACGGGTTAGAGGAACCGGTACTACGGGTTAGAGGAACCGGTACTACGGGTTAGAGGGGAGGAACCGGTACTACGGGTTAGAGGAACCGGTACTACGGGTTAGAGGAACCGGTACTACGGGTTAGAGGTGAGGAACCGGTACTACGGGTTAGAGGAACCGGTACTACAGGTTAGAGGAACCGGTACTACGGGTTAGAGGGGAGGAACCGGTACTACGGGTTAGAGGAACCGGTACTACGGGTTAGAGGTGAGGAACCGGGTTAGAGGTGAGGAACCGGTACTACGGGTTAGAGGTGAGGAACCGGTACTACGGGTTAGAGGAACCGGTACTACGGGTTAGAGGGGAGGAACCGGTACTACAGGTTAGAGGAGAGGAACCGGTACTACGGGTTAGAGGGGAGGGAACCGGTACTACGGGTTAGAGGGGAGGAACCGGTACTACGGGTTAGAGGAACCGGTACTACGGGTTAGAGGAACCGGTACTACGGGTTAGAGGGGAGGAACCGGTACTACGGGTTAGAGGGCAGGAACCGGTACTACGGGTTAGAGGAACCGGTACTACGGGTTAGAGGAACCGGTACTACGGGTTAGAGGGGAGGAACCGGTACTACGGGTTAGAGGAACCGGTACTACGGGTTAGAGGAACCGGTACTACGGGTTAGAGGGGAGGAACCGGTACTACGGGTTAGAGGGGAGGAACCGGTACTACGGGTTGGAGGAACCGGTACTACGGGTTAGAGGAACCGGTACTACGGGTTAGAGGAACCGGTACTACGGGTTAGAGGGCAGGAACCGGTACTACGGGTTAGAGGAACCGGTACTACGGGTTAGAGGGAAGAACCGGTACTACGGGTTAGAGGAACCGGTACTACAGGTTAGAGGAACCGGTACTACGGGTTAGAGGGGAGGAACCGGTACTACGGGTTAGAGGAACCGGTACTACGGGTTAGAGGTGAGGAACCGGTACTACGGGTTAGAGGAACCGGTACTACGGGTTAGAGGAACCGGTACTACGGGTTAGAGGGGAGGAACCGGTACTACGGGTTAGAGGGGAGGAACTGGTACTACGGGTTAGAGGAACCGGTGCTACGGGTTAGAGGGGAGGAACCGGTACTACGGGTTAGAGGAACCGGTACTACGGGTTAGAGGAACCGGTACTACGGGTTAGAGGGGAGGAACCGGTACTACGGGTTAGAGGAGAGGAACCGGTACTACGGGTTAGAGGGGAGGAACCGGTACTACGGGTTAGAGGAACGGTACTACGGGTTAGAGGAACCGGTTACTACGGGTTAGAGGGAGGAAACCAGTACTACGGGTTAGAGGAACCGGTACTACGGGTTAGAGGGGAGGAACCGGTACTACGGGTTAGAGGGGAGGAACCGGTACTACGGGTGTTAGAGGAGAGGAACCGGTACTACGGGTTGAGGGGAGGAACCGGTACTACGGGTTAGAGGAACCGGTACTACGGGTTAGAGGAACCGGTACTACGGGTTAGAGGAACCGGTACTACGGGTTAGAGGTGAGGAACCGGTACTACGGGTTAGAGGAACCGGTACTACGGGTTAGAGGGGAGGAACCGGTACTACGGGTTAGAGGAACCGGTACTACGGGTTAGAGGGGAGGAACCGGTACTACGGGTTAGAGGTGAGGAACCGGTACTACGGGTTAGAGGAACCGGTACTACGGGTTAGAGGGGAGGAACCAGTACTACGGGTTAGAGGAACCGGTACTACGGGTTAGAGGGGAGGAACCGGTACTACGGGTTAGAGGGGAGGAACCGGTACTACGGGTTAGAGGAGAGGAACCGGTACTACGGGTTAGAGGGGAGGAACCGGTACTACGGGTTAGAGGAACCGGTACTACGGGTTAGAGGAACCGGTACTACGGGTTAGAGGAACCGGTACTACGGGTTAGAGGTGAGGAACCGGTACTACGGGTTAGAGGAACCGGTACTACGGGTTAGAGGGGAGGAACCGGTACTACGGGTTAGAGGAACCGGTACTACGGGTTAGAGGGGAGGAACCGGTACTACGGGTTAGAGGTGAGGAACCGGTACTACGGGTTAGAGGAACCGGTACTACGGGTTAGAGGGGAGGAACCAGTACTACGGGTTAGAGGAACCGGTACTACGGGTTAGAGGGGAGGAACCGGTACTACGGGTTAGAGGGGAGGAACCGGTACTACGGGTTAGAGGAATCGGTACTACGGGTTAGAGGGGAGGAACCGGTACTACGGGTTAGAGGAACCGGTACTACGGGTTAGAGGTGAGGAACCGTTACTACGGGTTAGAGGAACCGTTACTACGGGTTAGAGGAACCGGTACTACGGGTTAGAGGGGAGGAACCGGTACTACAGGTTAGAGGAACCGGTACTACGGGTTAGAGGGGAGGAACCGGTACTACGGGTTAAAGGGGAGGAACGCTGAGTCATGATTTACTAAAAGTGTGTGTGTGTGTGTGTGTGTGTGTGTGTGTGTGTGTGTGTGTGTGTGTGTGTGTGTGTGTGTGTGTGTGTGTGTGTGTGTGTGTGTGTGTGTGTGTGTGTGTGTGTGTGTGTGTAGGGTCCTCTCTCTGCTACCTCCCCCTCTGTCTGGCTGCCTTACACCTCCATCGATCAGCTGCTGCAGACGCTCAACGAGACGCAGACCAACAGCAGCGTGAGTACTTCCTGTTCCCTCGCTACTTCCTGTTCCCTCGCTACTTCCTGTTCCCTCGCTACTTCCTGTCCCCTCGCTACTTCCTGTTCACTCGCTACTTCCTGTTCCCTCACTACTTCCTGTCCTGATCTTTACTTCCTGTTCCCTCGCTACTTCCTGTCCCCTCACTACTTCCTGTCCTGATCTTTACTTCCTGTCTCAGATGTATGACAAGGTTCGGGACAGACTGGAGGATTACCACCGGCAGGTCGAACAAACGACCAGACGGCGTCTCCTCGCCCGCTGAGGTGACCTGACCGCTCCGGCCAATCAGAGGCCGGCATCAAGTGTTTTGTTTTTTATAAAAATCCTCTTTTGTACTTCGTCAGTCAATAAAGTTTTCTTTGCTCACCGAGTCATCTTTCTTCTTCTGTGGTGGTTAATGCCCAGTTCCAACGCACACACACACACACACACACACACACACATACACATATAAAATGGTAGTCGCAGCCTACGCGGTCCACGGAGGACCCAGCCCACGTAGACCAGGTAGGCTGGACCGAGCGGCCTACGAAATGAGACGTCTAGCCTATGGAGCGCTTCGTATGTACGTCACGTGATACGCGCTGTTCGGTTACGCTACTCCAGCAGCCTGCTAGCAAATTAGCTTACAAGCTAACTCAGCTGAAAAGGATCCAGAAACTTTACTTTTACATTTTTTGGAGATCACCGTCGGCGATGAATTAAAGAGGACCATGGCCAGGTAAATAAGATGAAGCTGTTCCTTTAGCCCCCAGTAATTCAAGGTTCAAGGTTCAAGGTTCTTTATTGTCAATCTGACATAGCTACAGAGTAATTATGCAGTTGAAAATCTTATGTCACAGGCTTCTCCAACAATGCAACATAATAACATAACATAATAACAATAAGAGCAAGAGCAATACAAAAATAATAATAGTTATAAAAATGAAATAAAGTTATGATGTGGAATAGTGCAGTATGAGTCTATATACAAGTTATTGGAATGATATATATATATTAGGTATTAGATACATACTACTGAGTAGCAGTTGAATGTTTGAAGTTGTTTCAACAGTTCAATTTTTTAACAGTCTCACTGCCCGCGGGAAGAAACTGTCTCCGAATCTTCTTGTCCTTGCCCGGATGCTGCGGTAACGTCTGCCAGACGGCAACAGAAAGAACAGTTTGTGGCTGGGGTGATGGGGGTCTTTGATAATCCGTAGTGATTTCTTCCTGAGCCGCTGGGAGTAAAGGTCCTCCATGGATGGCAGCTCCGTCCTGGTGATGTGCTGTGCAGTTTTCACCACCCTCTGTAAAGCCTTACGATCGAGGTCGGTGCAGCTGCCGTACCAGGCCGTCATGCTGCCAGTGAGGATACTCTCTATCGTGCACCTGTAGAAGTTGCAGAGTATCCTGGAATCCATTTTGAACCTCAGCCTGCGGAGGAAGAAGAGCCGCTGTCGAGCTTTCTTGGTGATGGTGGTGGTGTGAAGAGACCATGTCAGGTCCTCAGTGATGAGTCCATGTCAGGTCCTCAGTGATGAGTCCATGTCAGGTCCTCAGTGATGTGGACCCCAAGGAACCTGAAGCTTTTGACTCTCTCCACCGTAGTCCCATTGATGGCGATGGGGGCGTGTCCCTCTCCCTGCTGCTTCCTGTAATCCACAATCAGCTCCTTTGTTTTGCTGATGTTGAGATGGAGGTTGTTCTCCTGGCACCAAGATGTCAGGTTTTCGACCTCCTCTCTGTATGCCGTCTCGTCATCGTCTGTGATCTGGCCGATGACGGTCGTGTCATCAGCAAACTTCACGATGGTGTTGGAGCTGTGTGTGGCCACGCAGTCGTGGGTGAACAGGGAGTAGAGGAGAGGGCTGAGCACGCAGCCTTGAGGGGCACCGGTGTTAAGAATCAGGGTGGAGGATGTGATGTTTCCCACCCGCACTGCCTGGGGTCTGCCCGTCAGGAAGTTCAGGATCCAGTCGCAGAGGGCGCTGTTGAGCCCGAGGTCTCTGAGCTTGATGGCCAGCTTGGAGGGCACAATGGTGTTGAATGCTGAACTGTAGTCAATGAACAGCATTCTCACATATGTGTTCCTGTTCTTCGGGTCCAGGTGTGAGAGGGCAGTGTGGAGGGTGAGGGCTATGGCGTCGTCTGTGGACCTGTTTGCTCTGTAGGCAAACTGCAGGGGGTCCAGAGATTCAGGGAGGGAGGAGGTGATGAATAATTTGACTAACCGCTCAAAGCACTTCATTATGATGGAGGTGAGTGCTACTGGGCGGTAGTCGTTGGGGCAGGTGATGATTGTCTTTTTGGGGACAGGAATGATGGTGGAGTGTTTAAGACATGTGGGGACTACAGACTGCAGCAGGGACCTGTTGAAGATGTCTGTGAACACCTCTGCCAGCTGAACTGCACACACCCTGAGAACACGGCCAGGGATGCCATCAGGTCCAGGAGCCTTGTGTGGGTTAACCCTTTTAAAGGATTTACACACATCTGCCCTATTTAAAACAAAAGGGCAGTGTAGCTCCTGGTCCCTCTGTACCTCCACAGCCTGGCTGCTCTCAAAGCGTGCAAAAAAACTGTTTAGCTCATCTGGGAGAGATGCGCACGCAGACACTCCCGCAGCACCCCCCGCTGCTCCTTTGTAGTCAGTCATTGTCCTTAGTCCCGCCCACATATTCCTAGTGTTACAGCCTTTGAAGTCAGATTCCACCTTCTCTTTGTACTGTCTCTTTGCATTTTTTATTGCTCTCCGGAGATCATACCTAGACTTCCTGTACTCCTCCAAATCTCCCGCTGTGTGCGCGAGAGTGCGCGCTTTCAGTTTGCCGCGCACCTCACCGTTTACCCAGGGCTTTTGATTTGGGAATGTCCGTACAGAAACCTTCGGTACCACGTCATCGATGCATTTCCCAATGTAGCAGATGACAGTGTCCGTGTGTGTGTTGATGTTATTGTCCTCAAACACACTCCAATCCGTAGATGCAAAGCAATCCTGCGGTGCTGAATCTGACTCCTCGCTCCATCGTTGTACTGTCCTTGTTATCGGTCTGTCCCTTTTAAGTTTCTGCTTGTACGCAGGCAACAACAGTAGTGAGATATGGTCTGATTTGCCGAAGGGAGGGCGAGGGAGAGCCTTATATCCATTCCGGAAAGGGGAATAAACATGGTCCAGTATGTTTCCCCCGCGCGTCGGGAAGTTGATGTGTTGGTAATATTTTGGCAAAACCTTCTTCATGTTGGCGGTGTTGAAATCTCCGGCCACAACGAACGCCGCATCTGGCCGTGAAGTCTCGGTTTTATCAATAAACCCAAACAGCTGATCGAGTGCCGTGTTGTTGTCGGCGAGTGGCTGCGGCGGGATATACACTGCTGTTATCACAACAGATGTGAATTCCCTCGGCAGATGGAAGGGCCCGACATGAGATCATGAGGTGCTCTAGCTGTGCGGAACAGTCCGATGAAATAATCTTCACATCTGAGCACCAGTTGTTGTTAGTCATTACACACACACCGCCTCCCTTACTTTTCCCCGAGTTTGCAGTCCGGTCCTGACGAAAAATAGAGAATCCGTCAGGGACAATAGCGGAGTCCGGGATAGCGGGGTTGAGCCAAGTCTCAGTGAGAATTAACACGTTACAGTTCTTAATGTCCCGTTGAAAAGCAATCCGGCTTCTGAGTTCATCTAGCTTATTTTCAATGGATTGAACATTAGCCAGAAGAATACTCGGAAGAGGGGGCCGATTCTCACGTTTTCTCAGTCTGACCAGCAACCCGGCCCGGCATCCTCGCTTTGTCTTCTTCTTGCGTCTCTCAGGTAGAACAGCAACAGGTAGCCATGGTGAATCTCCATTGTCTGTCGGAGGGTTATTATTGTCCACGAAGTTTCGCAATTGGAAAAGTTCCTCTCTGCTATATTGTATGGCAGAGTAGGTGCGGTCGGCTAGCATGTTGCGAACCATGTTAAAAGTAAAACGGCAAAAGTAAAAGAAATATGTACAAAATACGAAAATGGGCAAAGTTGGAGAGGAGCACAAAGACAATGCGGCCATCTTCACCGGCGCATCATAATGTTACATTAGTAAGTTAACAAGTACATTATATATAGCTGATGTAATTTAATATTATTATTTCATATTTAAAATAATTCTTAATTTTTCTGTACTAATAAAAGAATATGTTTTTTAAATGAACAAAAGCATGTTGTAGAGATTGATTCTTAACAATATTAGTGTTCTAATCTTAATAGCTGTGATCATAACAGTTTATATTCTCCTTCTTCCCCTAAACCTGCCCAGATGATGTCCCACTGACCCCAGGTCAGCACCTCCAGGTCCAGCAGCACCGTGACCCCCCGCTCTGCTGAAATACACAATTAAACATTTTCTATGACCTATTTTTTGTATTAATAAATACAGGGGTTAGGGGTCCTTCTCCAGCACCACAGGGGGTCCAGGTGGATGGCAGCTCTGTCCTGATGATCCGCTGGGGTTAGGGGTCCTTCTCCAGCACCACGGGGGGTCCAGGTGGATGGCAGCTCTGTCCTGATGATCCGCTGGGGTTAGGGGTCCTTCTCCAGCACCACAGGGGGTCCAGGTGGATGGCAGCTCTGTCCTGATGATCCGCTGGGGTTAGGGGTCCTTCTCCAGCACCACGGGGATCCAGGTGGATGGTAGCTCTGTCCTGATGATCCACTGGGGTTAGGGGTCCTTCTCCAGCACCACAGGGGGTCCAGGTGGATGGCAGCTCTGTCCTGATGATCTACTGGGGTTAGGGGTCCTTCTCCAGCACCACGGGGGGTCCAGGTGGATGGCAGCTCTGTCCTGATGATCCACTGGGGTTAGGGGTCCTTCTCCAGCACCACGGGGGGTCCAGGTGGATGGCAGCTCTGTCCTGATGATCCGCTGGGGTTAGGGGTCCTTCTCCAGCACCACGGGGGGTCCAGGTGGATGGCAGCTCTGTCCTGATGATCCGCTGGGGTTAGGGATCTTTCTCCAGCACCACGGGGGGTCCAGGTGGATGGCAGCTCTGTCCTGATGATCCACTGGGGTTAGGGGTCTTTCTCCAGCACCATGGGGGGTCCAGGTGGATGGCAGCTCTGTCCTGATGATCCGCTGGGGTTAGGGGTCTTTCTCCAGCACCATGGGGGGTCCAGGTGGATGGCAGCTCTGTCCTGATGATCCGCTGGGGTTAGGGGTCTTTCTCCAGCACCATGGGGGGTCCAGGTGGATGGCAGCTCTGTCCTGATGATCCACTGGGGTTAGGGGTCTTTCTCCAGCACCATGGGGGTCCAGGTGGATGGCAGCTCTGTCCTGATGATCCACTGGGGTTAGGGGTCTTTCTCCAGCACCATGGGGGGTCCAGGTGGATGGCAGCTCTGTCCTGATGA